TGAGGAAAGATTAGAGGAACTGAATTTATTCTCTCTTCAAAAGAGGAGATTAAGGGGGATATGATCACCATGTATAATACATAAGGGGGGATATGATCTCCATGTATAATACATAAGGGGGGGGATATGATCAACATGTATGTATAATACATAAGGGGGATATGATCTCCATGTATAATACATAAGGGGGGATATGATCTCCATGTATAATACATAAGGGGGGATATGATCTCCATGTATAATACATAAGGGGGGATATGATCTCCATGTATAATACATGAGGGGGGATATGATCAACATGTATAATACATAAGGGGGGATATGATCTCCATGTATAATACATAAGGGGGATATGATCTCCATGTATAATACATGAGGGGGGATATGATCACCATGTATAATACATAAGGGGGGGATATGATCACCATGTATAATACATAAGGGGGATATGATCTCCATGTATAATACATAAGGGGGGATATGATCTTCATGTATAATACATGAGGGGGGATATGATCACCATGTATAATACATAAGGGGGGATATGATCTCCATGTATAATACATAAGGGGGATATGATCTCCATGTATAATACATGAGGGGGGATATGATCACCATGTATAATACATAAGGGGGGGATATGATCAACATGTATAATACATAAGGGGGATATGATCTCCATGTATAATACATAAGGGGGGATATGATCTCCATGTATAATACATAAGGGGGATATGATCACCATGTATTGGTATAATACATAAGGGGGGATATGATCACCATGTATAATACATAAGGGGGGATATGATCACCATGTATAATACATAAGGGGGATATGATCTCCATGTATAATACATAAACGGCGGATATGATCACCATGTATAATACATAAGGGGGGATATGATCTCCATGTATAATACATGAGGGGGGATATGATCAACATGTATAATACATAAGGGGGGGGATATGATCAACATGTATAATACATAAGGGGGATATGATCACCATGTATAATACATAAGGGGGGGGATATGATCAACATGTATAATACATAAGGGGGATATGATCTCCATGTATAATACATAAGGGGGGATATGATCTCCATGTATAATACATAAGGGGGGATATGATCTCCATGTATAATACATAAGGGGGGATATGATCTCCATGTATAATACATGAGGGGGGATATGATCAACATGTATAATACATAAGGGGGGATATGATCTCCATGTATAATACATAAGGGGGATATGATCTCCATGTATAATACATGAGGGGGGATATGATCACCATGTATAATACATAAGGGGGGATATGATCAACATGTATAATACATAAGGGGGATATGATCTCCATGTATAATACATAAGGGGGGATATGATCTCCATGTATAATACATGAGGGGGGATATGATCAACATGTATAATACATAAGGGGGGATATGATCTCCATGTATAATACATGAGGGGGGATATGATCACCATGTATAATACATAAGGGGGGATATGATCAACATGTATAATACATAAGGGGGGATATGATCTCCATGTATAATACATAAGGGGGATATGATCACCATGTATAATACATAAGGGGGGATATGATCACCATGTATAATACATAAGGGGGGATATGATCACCATGTATAATACATAAGGGGGATATGATCTCCATGTATAATACATAAGGGGGGATATGATCTCCATGTATAATACATGAGGGGGGATATGATCTCCATGTATAAATACATCAGTGGTTCACATAGTGAACTTGGTGTAGCTATTCACCCTGAGGTCATCAGAGAGGACAAGGGGGCACTCTCTACGTCTGGAGGAAAAGAAATTTAATCTCCAACCACGGAAAGGTTTCTTCACAGTAAGAGCTGTGAAAGTGTGGAATAGACTCCCTCAAGAGTTGGTTCTGGCCAGCTCAGTGGATTACTTCAAAAAAGACCTGGATTGTTTCTTAGATACACAGAATATAACTGGATACTAACATTTATAGGTAAAGTTGATCCAGGGAATATCCGATCGCCTCTTGGGGGATGAGGGAGGAATTTGTTTCCCAGAAGGAGCAAATTGGATCATGCTTTGTTAGTTTTTTTTGCCTTCCTCTGGATCAACTGTGGGTATAGGATTATAAGGTTTTTTTTTTATGGTTGAACTTGATGGACTTTTGTCTTTTTTCAGCCAGACTAACTAAATAACTATTAAGCAGCGGCTTACATGAACGGGGGTGTGATTGTGATGCAGGTGGCTGTGTAAAAAAAAATTATGAGCTTGTTTTAACAACTTCAAGTCTGAATATTTTAACATTATTATTATTATATTATTTTTGTTCTTGAGTTTAGACACATTGTAAATGGAACACTATTGTATCATCAAGAACTTAAAGTATGTAGTATTCCAAGCCTAACTGGTTCTTAACCATTTCCATACCGGGCACTTTTACCCCCTTCCTGCCCAGGCCATTTTTCAGGTTTCAGCGCTCTCACACTTTGAATGACAATTGCACAGTCATACAACATTGTACCCAAACTAAAATTTTATCATTTCTTCACACAACTAGAGCTTTATTTTGGTTGTATTTAATCACCACTGGGATTTTTATTTTTTGCTAAATTAAAAAAAAAAGGCCGAAAATTTTGAAAAAAGTATTTTTCTTTGTTTCTGTTATAAAATCACGTTTTTTTGTTTCTGTTATAAAAGTTTGCAAATAAATAATTGTTCTTCATAAATTTAGGCCAAGATGTATTCTACTACATGTCTTTGGTGAAAATAACCCAAATTAGGATGTATTATTTAGTTTGTAGGAAAGTTATAGAGTTCACAAACTATGGTATAGATCTGAATGTTGATCAATCCTGAAGTACTAACAGCCAATCTAATTTCTTGAGATCCAAGAATGTCAGAACAGTACAGATATCCCCAAATGACCCCCTTTTGCAGAGTAGACAGTCCGACGTACTTCATAAGAGGCATGGCGAGTTTTTTGAAGTTGTATTTTTTTGCCATCATTTTTCGGAAAATTAAATTTTTTTTTTTTCTTACATACTGTCACCAGTGCAGTACAGCGTCATCATATAACTGGCATGGTGGTGATCAGGGACACTGACTGGTGACAGTATGAAAAAGAAAATATATAATTTTTTAAATTTGTTTTTATTATTTTTAATTTTTTATTACATTTTTTTTCTTAAGATTTTTTTTCATATTTCACTATGTCCAAAGTAGTACAATGTTACCATAGTAACATTGTACTACTTTGGGGAAGTGATCAGTATTTTTTTACACAATTTGCTTATAGCAAAGAATTACTTTGCTATAAGCAAGCATTTACCTGAATGACATCGATTCATTCAGAGGTTTGTTTTTTTTTTGTGTTGTGCTTAGCTGTGATTTGGCCACAGCTAATACATGACACAGCTGGGCTGTGATTGGCCCAGCTTGTGCATGTGATCGCTGTGACCAATCACAGCTACACACACTAGTATACAATGGATGGGATGAATGAAGCCATCCATTGTATACAACTGTCATGTGACCTGCTGTGATTGGTGAATACAATGTTTTACTTACTTGCTCTGTGCAATGGTTTTGCACAAAGCAGCCCTGATCCTCTTCTTCTGAGGTCCCTTTGGGGGTGTCCCCATAGCAAGACACTTGCTATGGGGGTAGTTGGGTGGGCTAGTTCCCAAGCTGGGCTCTGTGTGTCCAAAGACACACATAGCTTGGCATAGTCCTGCCCCCACTCCCTCCTCTCAGGCTGTGATTGACAGCAGCAGAAGCCAATGACTCCCCTTGCTGCCTTCATGGCCAGTGAGGAGGGAGAGCACAGAGAGAGACACTGCTCTCAGGCTGGATCAAGATCAAGGTCAGGTAAGTATGGAGGGGTGCTGGGGGAGGGGGGACTGTACCCAGGAGATTTTTTACCTTATGGCAGAGAATGCATTCATGTAAGAAACCTTCTACTTTTACTATAACACTGCGCCAATAATGACACCCTCATGATTTTAGAGCTCCAAGCTCCTAATTTTCCCCCCAGCCCGTGCCCCCCCCCCCAATCCTCTCCATCACGACCAACAACGCCACCATCAGTCCCACCCCGCAAGCCAAAGTCCTAGGTGTCACTCTAGACTCCAATCTGTCCTTCCAACCCCATGTCCAATCGCTGGCTAACTCATGCAGGCTCCACCTCCGCAACATCTCCAAAATACGTTACGTTCCTAACCCCAGACACTACTAAACAACTCGTTCACTCCCTCATTATCTCATGTCTGGACTACTGCAACTCCCTCCTCACCAGCCTACCCCAACACAGGCTATCCCCGCTTCAGTCTATCCTGAACTCAGCGGCCAGACTCATCCACCTTACCAACCGCTCCTCTTCTGCCACCCCCCTCTGTCATTCCCTCCACTGGCTTCCGATTGCCCAACGCATTAAATTCAAATTACTATCATTGACATACAAAGCCATTTATAACGCTGCCCCAAACTACCTCACCGACCTGATATCCAAATACCACCCAACCCGTACTCTTCGCTCCTCACAAGACCTCACAAGACCTCCTACTTTCTAGCTCCCTGGTCTCCTCCTCCCATGCCCGACTGCAGGACTTCTTCAGGACTTCCCCTATCCTCTGGAACTCACTACCCCCAATCCATCAGCCTGTCACCTACCCTCCTCACCTTTAGGCGCACTCTGAAAACCCATCTCTTCAGGGAAGCCTACCCCGCCATCACCTAACTGCCGATCTCCTCCACTCCTCCCACCACTCCGTCCCCCACAGCCACTTCCTCCTGTTCCGCTATCCCCTCCCTCCTAGATTGTAAGCTCCAAGGAGCAGGGCCCTCGAACCCCTCGTGTATTGCTTTGTTACTGTATTGTCTCATGTACTGTCCCCCACTATAATGTACAGCGATGAGCAAACCTTTTGGCACTATATAAATAATGTATAATAATAATAATAATATAATAATATTGATTATACTTTTCAGCGCATACACTTGGACATTCAGGTTGGTGAACACCCTCTTGATTACTCAGCTGTGGATCCAAATAACAAAGTGAAAGAAGTTTCCAACATATTAGAAAACCTTCAAGGGGAAATGAACCATATCATGAAAGAACAGGAATATCAGCGGGTATGTTTATGCATGCAAATTATGGAATGACTTTTTACTTCAAATAGAGGGTTTTACATGTAATTAAAGCAGCATTACTCCAGAAAACAAACAATTAATATATTGCAGCTTACCAATCATTAGATGTGTTGGCTGCAGGGGTGGACTGACAACTCATGGGGCCCCCGTGCAATAGGGGATCATAGGGCCCCTGTGTCCTTGCCCAAACTCAAAAAAAGCCTATGAAAAATGTACCAGTGGCATCTCATGGGGCCCCCTACTGACCCCGGGCCCTCGGGTAGTGCCCGAGTTTTCAAATGGTCAGTCTGCCCCTGGGTGGCTGCATTAGTTTTCTTTTTTTTTGTCTTTTCTCCCCTCTGATTTATCCTGGTGGCCAGTAACATACTTACTGTATTAGAGTGCCCCCATTCTGGATGAAGGGGCAACAGAGACACGTTAGGACAGCAGCATTGTTAGTCTGGGGGGGGGGGGGTGGTAATGTTAGATGCACTAGCAGATTTAGATACACTAAAAAATTAAAGTAGAATTCCAGCTAACACTTTATAAGCAGTTACAGCAACAGTTTTATTTCCTTTTAAGATAAGGATTTCACATAAAGAAATACGAGCTCATCATTGTAAGCACCCCTGCCAGTGTTAAATAGTTTGTCTCAACCCTCTAATTGCTACATCTGCAGAGCATCTTATTCTGTTGAAAAACACCAGACTTACTGGCTGGATCACCAGCTGAAAATAAGGGGAAAAATGAATGCAGCCATCACATCTAAGGCCTCATGCACACTGGGCGTTTTTACAACTGCTCAGGCATTTTTTTTCCCTGCCTGTAAACTCCCCTGCATGTTACCCTGGGTGTCCGTGATCAGTTAAAATTTTAGAGGTTTTAAGTGGCAGGAGAGTTTAGAGGCAGAAAAAAAAACACTGCCAGTGCATCCCCCCCCCCCCCCAGCAAGCCATAGGGGCACTTATGCAAGCTCACTCCAAGCCACGCTCCATTGACACACAGAGCACGACCTGGTCCTGCTCCCTCCTCACAGGCTGTGATTGACAGCAACCAATGGCTCCCGTTGCTGTCTCTGAGCCTATGAGGAAAAAGAGAGCAGAGAGAGCGGTGGATCGAGATCAGGCTCAGGTAAGTATAAGGGGGGACTGGGGGGGGGGGCACTACTCCAAAAAGTTTTTTTTGCCTTAATGTACAGAAGGCATTAAGCTAAAAAAAACGTATAGACTTAAAACCACTTTAAAGGTGAATGCCAGTAGATCCAAGATTTAGGATAGTAATGGCTTGCGAATAATACCACCTGTGCCCAAGTTGATTTTAATCACTTCAAGTCTGGACACTTTTACCCCCTTCCTGCCCAGGCCAATTTTTTTAGCTTTCAGCACTATCACACTTTGAATGACAATTGCGCGGTCATGCAACACTGTACCCATATAAATTTGTTAGCATTTTTTTGAGACAGATAAAACTTTAATTTGGTGGTATTTCACCACTGGAATTTTTTTTATTTTTTGCTATATAAATGAAAAAGTCCAAACATTTTGAGAAAAAGTGTTTTTCTTATAAAATTTAGCAAATAAAATAATCTTTCTTCATAAATCTTGGCCAAAATGTATTCAGTTATCTTTTTAGTAAGAAAAAAAAAACCAAATTAGTTCATAACCAAAAATTTAACTTTTTCAAAAAAAGTTTTACATTTTTTTTTTATTTTTTTTCAATTATTATTTGTTTTTTGTTTTTTTACATACTGTCACCCCAGCAGTCAGAATCACCAAAGTGAAGATTTTTCTTTTTTTTTTTTTTTTTACACTGATTGCTTTTACACCCATAAAGGCTGTAAAAGCAATCATTTCTCCTTCTCTCTGGCTGCATTCTTGCAGCCATTGAGAAATACTGTGTGAGCTGTGATTGGTCACAGCTTGTCACATGGTAAAAGACTGTTGTGAATAGCCTTGTACCATGTGACCTCTGTGATCATTCACAGATTTCACACATAGTAAGCAATGATGTCAGAAATGACATCTTGCTTACTACTCTTCATGTGATCACTGATTGGCCAATCAGTGACCACATGATCGGGACCTCACACAGAGGTCCCGTACAACGATCGGTGTTCCACTATGTCAGGAGGACACAGCGGGCAGCGGATTGCGGTATAAACGGCCACCCGCCCCTGCACTGCTCCCGTCCAGCCGTTTATATACATGGGCCGGACAGGAAGTGGTTAAATATGCCCATTGATTTAAGTGGCCCTGGGACACCAGGATTCCTCCAGAGGTTGCTATGGGTTCCTTGAGCAACGTCTGCCTCTCAGATAACCTCTCACTACTATCATTGATCTGTAAGGGGGTAATTCTTCCCAATGGCCACAAGTGTAAGGAGCATTCTTCCCACTGACCATCACACTAATGTATCATGAATTGTAGATATAGTCATTTTTAGAAGGGGTTCCCTGAAACCAGAAAGGTATTTCAAGGGTTCCCCAGTGTTGAACAGGTTGAGAAGGGCTGGTCTACAGTGCTGTTTTCTGCTTACATTATTACTTGTTCACTTTTCAGGAGAGAGAAGAATATTACCGACAGAAGAGTGAAGACATGAACAGCAATGTTTTATGGTGGGCTATTGTGCAAACCGTCATCCTCACCTCTGTTGGCATCTGGCAGATAAAACGCCTAAAAGATTTCCTCATCGCCAAGAAAGTTGTATAATATATCAGCCAGGGACGAATGCCAATTTTTAAATTTGTCACACAGAGGAGCCTCCTATTTGATCCACCTCTCTCCCCCTTCCCAAATCTTGGTTTTACTTTGTTATTACGTCTTTTGCCACATTCATTTGTCTAGTAAGTGACCTTACTGGTCACTTGGGTGGTATCACTAGACAAAGCAATGATAAATGAGACAAATCTCTATAGGAGGAGCTTAAGCAAGACTGTAACTTTTGAAATGGATGACTGATTCGACTTAATTGAATCCACTAAGAACCATTTTGGTCAGTGCAAAATGTTTAAAAGTGTTCCCTCAATCCTTGTATGTAAGCGTTCTTTCTTGTGTTACCCTGGAATAATATAAGATACTTTCATAAGGTAAAATACATTGCGAAAAAAAATAAAGTATATATAGATTTTTATGTCAATAACATTGGGTAATTTTTTATAGTACACATACCAGGTTTATGGCTACTAGATAACAAAAAGTTAAAATACTCTAAAGCAGGGGTTTCCAAACTTAATAACACAGGACCAGTTTACTGTCCTTCAGTCTTTAAAGGGGCTGTATTGTGGCCAGTGTGGTAGTCAGTGTAAGTAAAATAACTGCATAGCCTTTGTAACCAGTAGAAGGAAGAACAGTGTTTCAGCACTGGTACTAGTGGGAGGAATAGTGCCCCATCATTGGTATAAGTGGGAGGAATAGTGCCCCATCACCCAATCATGGGTATTAGTAGGAGGAATAGTGTCCCATCATTGGTATTAGTAGGAGGAATAGTGCCCCATCATTGTATTAGTAGGAGGAATAGTGCTCCATCATTGGTATTAGTAGGAGGAATAGTGCCCCATCATTGGTATTAGTAGAAGGAATAGTGCACCATCATTGGTATTAGTAGAAGGAATAGTGCACCATCATTGGTATTAGTGGGAGGAATAGTGCCCCATCATTGGTATTAGTAGGAGGAATAGTGCCCCATCATTGGTATTAGTAGGAGGAATAATGTCCCATCATTGGTATTAGTAGAAGGAATAGTGCCCCATCATTGGTATTAGTAGAAGGAATAGTGCACCATCATTGGTATAAGTGGGAGGAATAGCACCCAATCATGGGTATTAGTAGGAGGAATAGTGCCCAATCATTGGTATTAGTAGGAGGAATAGTGCCCCGTCATTTTATTAGTAGGGGGAATAATGTCCCATCATTGGTATTAGTGGGAGGAATAGTGCCCCATCATTGGTAGTTGGAGGAATAGTGCCCCATCAGTGGTATCAGTGGGGAGGAATAGTGCACCATCATTGGTATAAGTGGGAGGAATACTGCCCCATCATTGGTATTAGTAGGAGGAATAGTGCCCCATCATTGGTATTAGTAGGAGGAATAATGCCCCATCATTGGTATTACTAGGAAGAATAGTGCCCCGTCATTTTATTAGTAGGGGGAATAATGTCCCATCATTGGTATTAGTGGGAGGAATAGTGTCCCATCATTGGTATTAGTGGGAGGACTAGTGCCCCATCATTGGCATTAGTGGGAGGAAAGTGTAGTATTAGTTGGACCCATTATCATTGGCATTAGTGGAAGGAATAGTGCCCCATCATTTTATTAGTAGGAGGAATAGTGTCCCATCATTAATATTAGTAGGAGGAATAGTGCCCCACTGTTTTATTAGTGGAATGAATAATGCTCCATCATTGTTATTAGAGGGAGGAATAGCACCCCATCATTTTGATCAGTGGAAGGAATAGGACCCCACTGTTGGTATTAGAGGGAGGAGTGGTGCCCCATCATTTGTATCAGTGGGAGGAATAGTGGCCATCATTGGTGTCAGTAGAAAGAATAATGCCCCATTGTTGGTGACACTGGAAGGATAAGTCAGTGTGTGTGTGTCAGTGGAAAGAATAGTGCCTCATTAATAGTGTCAGTAGAAGGAACAGTGATCCAAGAGCCAGATAAAAGGGACCACAGTTTGGAGACCACTGTTCTAAAGGAAACAATTGAATTTGTGTACTCCCTATAAAGCCTCTGTAAAGGACATGCTATTTAGGAACCATGGGTTATACTGCCATCTACAGGAGGATTGGACACTGGGTACAAAATGAATGAGTCTGGCCCATAGGAGCTGTATGCATGTCTCAGTTATAGCAAGCAGTATCAAAAATGACAACCAAGAAAAAAGGGGACCTGTGTCTCTCAATGGGCCTGGGGAAGAGATTTTACAGTGAGCACAAAAATCCTGTTATCTCTTTTATCCATTGAGGGGCACAGGATTCCATTCAGGATCCATGGGTTGTCCACAAAAGAGGGACAAGACAATAACAGGCAACAAACAAAAAGACAAAACAAAGCGTAAAGGCAATTCACAAAGCTACTTGCAAAACAAGCATGAAACATCCAAGTATGAAGAGAACACAGAGGTCAGATGACGAAAGGTCCAAGAGCTACTCACAGCCCTAGTGGAGTGAACTCTGACAGGGAAAGGAAGAACCTTATCTTTAAAATCACAAGTCCAAACAACAATTTGGAAATCCATCAAGAAATGGTGGAACTTGACGCCAGGACAACCTTCCAGGATCCTTATGGAATAGCAAACAAGGAATCAGATTTTCTGAAGGAAGCTGTGGCATTTAAACAAACCTGAGCAGCCATAACTATATCCAAACAATGGCGAGAAACCTCCTCATTAAAATGTTATATGCGTTTAAAGGCTACATTCACCATTTCCAGGTAAATGCCTTTGCAGTCAAGATACCCCAGTAGGTATTAGGCCTATTGCACACTTGCAGCTAAAAAACCTCCCTTTTTACAGGTGTTTGACTTTGTTTTTCTGTATCTAAATGCCCCTCTTTGTGTCCATGCACACACAGGCATTTATAGGTGCTTAGAGGCAGGAGCATTTAGGGGCAGAAATCTGAACATACCACAACTGTGTTCAGGGGAGGAATGTTTGGGCACAAAAAATACCCAGTGCACCTAAACACATGTAAACACGCCTAAATTCTAGGTGGGTTTAGCGCTTGACTGTTCATTTTTTTCAATGGCCAGAATAAATGAACATTCTGGCCAATTAAATGAATGAACGTCCAAACGCTTGACCTGTACGTGTCTAAATGCGGCTTTAGGCACATTTTTTAACGCTGCTTTTCTCCTGCCAGGAGAAAGGCCATGAGAATTGCTGGGCAAACGACCAGTGTACATGAGGCCTTAACATCTTGGCACCGGTGCCTCCTGGCCCTTTAAGGGGTTTGTGATGCCGGGGAGCGGGGTTTAGGGTCATGTGTCCACTGTGATTGGCTGTCACAGCGGTCACATGATTGGAAAGGTCCTGATCGCAATTAGTGAATAATAATTTATTCTAGCCATTGACATTAACATAGCTAATTAAATGCGTACCAGTGCCCCCCACCCTTGCATGCTCCTGCCATGTATCCAGGTTCTGCTTGCCCATCTGCGGGCCCGAGGATGCACCATGGCGGATGCCGGCAGGTGGAGGTCCACTCTCCTCCCCTTCTTTCTGTGACCTGGCTTTCCCTGGCTAGAATAGCTTGCCAAGCATATATTGCAGCGCGGTCTACATTGCAATATACCTAATGGAGACCAGAGGAAATAGGCAGGGTCTTTTAGACCCTGCATGTCTCAATAAAGAGAACCTGTCACATAAAAATCATCACTTTGTGTCTCCTACGTGATGAAAAAAAAGTTAAGTAAAAAAAAAATTTTAATTTTAAAATTAGACCCAAGCACATAACATCCCCCCCCCAAATTTTTTTTTGAGCCCCCCACCCCCACATATGCACACATGCGAACATAGACGCACACCTCAGGGCGCCTACGCGTAAAAACATTGATTGTGATACACGTTGCATATCGTCTTGCACGCTGGATTGAGAACAATAATTCTAGCACAAGACCTCCTCCGTAACACTATACTGATGACCTATAGGGGCTTTTGGATCTTCGCTTACAGAAAATATACGGTACTGAAGTTTATTAGCATTTCATAAATGAATACAAGTTTAAGGTTTGGCATGCTGAATATCTACAGTATTTACTCAGCACAGCATCATCTTTTATATTTTACCAAAAATTTGGGTAATTCATTTTGCTTGTTTGCCCTTGCACTCTCCCATGCAGGTACCCCTTGTCTCCGCCCACACTTGTCTCAGCAGTCGGCAGCAGAGAGGAGAACAGAACTCCTCTGCCAAATCCTGCACCTCTTGGTGCTGCTGCAGCTCCCCCTCATCTTTTGCCTCTCCTGGTCTCATCATTCAGCAAACTCTGGTAACTGACTTCATTCCTCCTCTGGTCCTCCTCCAGACCCTGCACTTTTGGCTTTCCAGCTCTTCTCCCAAAGGGGGTGCACGGTGATGTTAGGGAGGGTGTGGGATTCTTGATATCTGATGTAATGGGGAGTGGGGTGCTGTGGATATCTAGTCTTACAGATACACCGCCCTTTGAGGGACAACCATAATGCTGATATGGCTCACGCTGAAATGGAGTTTGACACCCCTGCTCTAGAGTGTCTGCTTTCAGAAAATATATAATGTTCAGGGGGGAGTTTGTAATCTTCATGCCTGAAATAATTTTTTAAACGTGTGCAAAAATGCAAAAACAGCTCTGGCAGCGAAAGGGCTAAAAGAGTCAATAACTAAAAATAAACATACAAAATATATACATTTATATTGGTTTTCCAGGTTCCAATAAGCATGCACATAGTCAATGCCTAGTGTAGTGTGCACTGACAAATATGAGAAGGGAAAAGCAACACAGCATACCTTATCTGATCCTACATTACCCTCTAGTGAAATGTTAGGAAACTGCAAGACAAAAGATCTGTTAACACTTAAATAAAAATAAAATATTTATGTGTGAAGTTCAAGTTTTACTGTCATCTGAGGTTTTTTTTTGCATATTTTCAAATATGTTCCTAAGAAATCCTCTGGGTTTTTGGGAGAAAAATAAAATTATATGCCCCATCCCTCTCCAAGAAAGATACCACCAAA